CACAACTAGACTGAAGAACAAAAGGATAGCAACTTGTCTGTTCCCCTTCCCCCAATTCCCCAGCACTGTTCCCATCCCCCAATTCCCCAATAAAAAAAATCTAAAAAAAAGCAAATGGCCTGAGATACTTTGAAGAAACTTAGCATCACTGTTCAAACTGGGTGGTCCTAGAGATAAGGTGGAAATTGGTTCTGGGAAGCACCATGAAAGCACCAGATGCAACTGGGGCACCAAACCAGACCTGTCCACACTAGGATTTTGAGTATTTTTCCTAACATCTATTTTTGTTGACAGATAACAGAGGCAGAATTAAAGTATGGAAAGAGGATCTTCCAGCCAAACTATGCAAAAGTTGGAAACAAAAATCTGTACTTTCTTAATAAATTTAGTTGTCTGCTTTGGTAGTACAATAATTTTTGTGCTCTTAGTTTCTTAGTAAAGGTTATTTTGAAGAAGTTAAACACAAGAAAAACAAAAATCTGTATTTATTGGTCTAGTTGATGCTAAAGGATTTGATTTCTTACTCAAATTTCAAATGATAGAAAATCTTACTAAGCTCATTACTTGATCTCTGAGAATTAAGAAGGAGCCTACAAAGTAAAGAAAGCATTTCTAGAAGAAAAGAGTGCAGAAGGACAATGTATATGGATAATAAAAGAAATACTTTTGAGAACTATTTCCCTAAATATAGTTCGATACTTTAATATATAAGCATAATTCTAAGCATTTAGTTTAATAGTTTTAGGCTGCCTCGAATAATTTTTAGAATGAGTTTGAAGGGTAAGTAAATATAGAAATATACATATGCATTAAACCATAATTGCTGATGTTTTATCATTATCAATTTGGGAACAATTTGGTGAATCTTACTTAACCTGGCTTAGAGTTTTGATTTGACCTGTTTTGCAGAATATAAATTTGCTTTGTTATGAGAACCACAGATTAGAAATCACTTATGTGAGGGAATAAACCTAGAAGAATGAATGGATCAAGAAAAATAAGAGAAACATATCTTCAGTAATCTTACAATACATCCTGTTACTCTCCTGGAAGTCTTCGTCATCTTGGTCAACTTTCTCTGGTTGAGAGCAGTAGGTTTTAATGTTGTCATCTAGGTACCAGCTGAAATTTTCGTCCACCACAGAAAACATCACCACAAATTCTTTGTCAATATTTTTTTCTTTTTCTTCCTCCAGGGAACCTGAAGTGAAAATTACTATTTTAATCTTTAGCATAAATTTTAACATACGATTTACTGTTTTAAGACATTTTAGTATTTATTTTCCTTATAAATCTGGACTAGTCCATCCTGTTTTACAGACATGGTAAAGCTTAGGGAGTTTTATGTTCAGTATTCTGGGCTTGGCAGACACTCATATATTTGAATGTTCACTGACCACAAAACTATTAAATGCTTTTGGGCAAATGAGAAGGTTGGAATTCATAGTTGTGTATATGTCTTCTGATGCATATAGCCACCAGCTGAGACAACAGATCTTTGCAGGGAACTAATGATTGTTTAAGGAAGAATTAAATTTCAAGCTCTCAAGCTATGTTGCTTGTTCATGATGCTAGAAATAGACATTATATTATATTTACCAACACAAAACAGATAACCAGAGCTATATCACCATTGAGTGCCACGAGGGAGTCACATTTGGTAAAGTCATCTATCTCTTCAACACTCCTGTAAAGTGAGCCACAGCAAACCTGTCCCCAAGGACAGCATGTTTCTTGCAGCTTAACAATGTGTATGAATGGTTATTCCATTTATCGCTTCTTCTCCTTATCCTGCCCTGCTCTCCCCTCCCTTTTTTTTTAGACTCACTGCCTCTCTACCTTACCTACTCAGTCACAACACAGAAGGCTTGACTTATATTTAAAAAAGGACAAACTGCCTTGTCGCTTTTCTTTTGGTCATATATTGTGAGCAATAATGAGATAACATACCTTTTTTACAGACTATTAAAGGTCCAATGAGTCCTGAAGCAATATCTTTTGGAGCATCAATGTGGGAGTGGTAAATCCTGGTCACACAATTGCCATCTTGCTCACCAGGACTTTGTTCTTGGGTGGCTTGCATTATGTATGTATATTGCTCACCTGGATACACTTTGTCATCTGCTTTATGAAAATCTGTAGTGTTATCAGGGTAGATAGCTCCTAGGAAACAACATGCAATGAAATTGCAAGTTGAATGTTTTTGAACTTAAATGAGAGAATAGATGTTTATGAATTTATTCAGCAAACATTTTTTTTCAACATCTAGTATGTGCCCCCTTGGGGACACAGTGATGTCCTCCTTGAACACAGAGGAATGAGAGACTAATGGCTAAAGGGTCTGGAAGCATCACAGAAAATTTTGTCATTATTTTTCATACTTGACTGAGTCTTCAGGGAGCAGTAATAGATATCTCAGGAGCATGGTGACTTTTGGTTTGTAATTTAAAGAACCACTGTGCCCTGGGGTCATGGTATAGAAGTATGAACAAATGGCTACCTTTCCTATAATTTGAAATATTTTATATAATATCAGATTTTTACCTGTGAAGTAACCATTGAAGTTTTTAAATTTTGTAAATTTCTAAACCTATGCAAAAGTTGAGAGAATAATATGATGAACCCCCATGTATCCATCAACCCAGCTTTTACAATGACCAACTCAAGACCAACCTTGTTTCGTCTATATTCCCAACTCTTATTCCATCACCATCTAATTATTTTAAAGCAAATCCCAGACATCATATAATTTCATTCTTAAATACTCTAGTATGTATCACTAAAAGACAAGAACCTTTTTTTCTTTTACATAACCACAGTATAATGATCATACTTTAAAAATGATTAATACCCGAATGTACCATGAGATTAAAAAAGAAAAATAAGATGGTAGTCAACCTCTATGCTATGAATGTACTTGTTGGGTTCAGAAAAAAGAAGCAAAAAATACGTGGTTAAAACAGTCACCTTCTAAAACAATAACTCTTTAAAAGAGAAGACTAGTAATCAATCAAACTAATTTTATCTTAATTTTCAGAGTTGATCCTTATAATTTCAATAAACTGTATAATGACCTCAGCATTTTTGCTTATGATAGTTGTTGACATTTATTGAAATAGTACTATATACTGTCATTGTCCTTGTTTTATAGGTGAAGAAACCAAAACACAGAGGATTTAAGTAACTTGCCTAAGGTCATTCAGTCAGTAAAAGGCAAGGTTGCACTTGAACCTTGTACCTTGGTCTATTAATTTTGAATCCCTCATTCTTAACCACAACAAAGCACCAACACTTTTCACCATCATTATCATCATCAAATACTAAGAGTTAGATAACAGTTACCAAAACTAATCTTTGTTCTTCCCTGACCATCATTGAGGTTTCCAAGTCCTACATTCAAATGTAGGACTTTGTCTCAGATGTGACCTGGGGTCATCCAGCCACGTGTACCATTTGGCTGATAATATGAGACTACCCAGGCTGCCTTAGCTGGGACAGTTTATCCAAAGTTAGAATGGGAGGTAACAATGGCCACAATATGTTTACATGTAGGAACTTCAAAGATAAGACAATAGACAATCCCCATCTTGAGTCCTGTTTCTTCCTTCTGGATTTTTGCCTTTTCTAGACCTTCATGTACATTGCTTATTTTTCTTATTCTGACTGTTTGGCTGGAAAAAAGTTGGGCGCTGGCCCAGCTCTCACGGCCTCTCATTACATGTGTCCACCCAGAAATCCTATCACATTCACACTTCACACAAACAAGCAGCACCAAGAGAAACACAACAGTATTGTGATGAACCAAAATACTTATTAATAAAATAGTTTAGAGCTAAACAACACAGTTACAGGTCTTACCCGGCAGTGGAGTCTATAATCTTAGAAGTTAAAAAGTATTCCTACTGAAAAGTAAGAGAAAATTCCAGATAGAGTATGAGCTGAGCTTACCTTCATGTTCCTTGAGGTAAGTTATCCCATGTGCATGAAAAGTGTAGGGCCTAGAGGCAAAGTTTTTTAAATGTATAAAAAGTTTATCTCCAGTTTCTGCTTTGATAATAGGTCCTAAAAGCCCCAGCCAGTCAGGTTTTGCTATAGTTGTTCTAAAAGTCTCATCTGTGTACTGAAGATAAAGGGCCTTCTTATATGATCTTCCAATTCTGTTGGGGCTACTTTGAAGATAGATATTGGAGTGTTCCCTGCAAAGGAAAAGAAAACAACTCTATCAGAAGCCATCATTCCTGGGGGTAACGTTAGATTAAAGAGAAACGAATGAACATATCACATTAAATATTTGCCCATTGTTGTAGGGATGCCTCCAAGAAACGAAGAGGAGAGCTGTCACTTAGCCTTGTTATTTTGATGATGTGATGTGTCTCACATCAAGTATGTGCCTGAGAACCATCTGTAAAGGTGTCGTGAAAATATGGTGCATCTTACCAGAGTATTTTCTATAAGATTTTCATATTAAAACATGGAGTCATTATGGAATAGAATATGAAATTAAAGTGAAATATTAAAATAAGGACATTTCTCACTTATGATGTACCTTTTTTTAGCTACTGGGAAAGTTTGAGTTTATATGTAATCAATCTGGAATTTTGAGACATTTATCTATCTATCTATCTATCTATCTATCTATCTATACACACACATATATATACACATATATATATATACACATATATATATACTCATATTCCTAAATAAAGTAAAACTAATGATGCAAAATTAATTCTATCATTTTTATTTCTATTAGTAGCACCAAATCAAGATTGGAATTGATGCGTGCAATTGTGTGTGGGTTTTAAATTACCTTTGGGTTCAAATTACCCTTGTGTTTTTTTAATCCCTTGCTACCTAGAATACTTGAATGTTGAATGTTTATATTCTGATTAGTAGATGATTAAAGGTTGCTTAAAAGTTTTCTAAAAAAATATCAGCAAAGTATATAGAAGCCAGGAAATAAAAAGAAAGAAAGTGAGCTTGGTATTCAACGATTGGAACTGATTCTTAAGTTAGTGTGCCCAGATAGCTCAGTGGGATCTGTGGGCACTACCATCTCGCAGTTTAGGAGGATCCACTCATAGCCTGGACCTTGGCAAGCCCCTCCACAAGCAACTGTGGTCTCCTTCACTGGAATAAAAACTGCTAACACTCTGGCTGATGATGTGTGTGTGTGTGTGTGTGTGTGTGTGTGTGTGTGTGTGTGTGTGTGTGTGTGTGTGTTTTGCCTACTTTCGCCTCAGTGACATTTGATGCTGTACCATTTTCCACTCAACCCCTGTGAGGCCCAAATTACCTGATGAAAGAGTAAACATCGTCTTGTTTCCCCAGCCGTAAGATCACTGGAAAGAGTGAGAGATGATTTCCCTTCCTTTCAAGACAAGAGTAGGACTTGTCTGGGAGCTCTGGAATTTTGTCACTGCAGAGTTTAAAGACTCAGCTTTTATAAAATTCAGGACTCTAGACTATATTTTCTCAAGTTTTAATGTGCGTAGGAATCTACTCAGGACCTTGATATAATGAAAGTTCTTGGGGCCCAGCCCCACTGATTCGGATTCTGGGCATCTGCAGTTACTAAGAACCCCCACCCTCCTCCAGCGTGCTCTGATGCTGCTCTGGGCTCATGGGTAGCCTGAATTGGGAAGGCTCAAAGCGGAAGGAGAAGAAAGCTGTCCAGTCCAAGAGGCAGTGGGATTCCTTGAGACCAGGAGACAGAAAGGTCTGGTCTGTATTCAAACCAGACCTGGTAGTGGTCATGCCTCTGCTGGTGTGTTTACATGGGGGCATTAGACTCAGCCTGAGTGCTAGAGCAGAGGAGCGTGGCCCCTTGGCAGTGGTCCTGCTGGCAGAGCCTTGGCAGTGGGAACAGGTGATGAAATAACGGAGCCATCGTCTCTGGATTGACCAGAGGGCTTCATCAATCAGCATCTCTGAGTCGTTACCATATACCAAACATCCAGTTTTCCTGAACTGTGTAAACTCCAGGATTCTCAAATTGTTCACTTAAAAATGAATGAGATGGGGTCACCTTTCCCATTCTGATGGGAGGAAAACCTAGGCAGGGAGTTAGAAAAATAAAGAAGTGACATCTTTTGCACCCAGTGTGGGGTGGTGAATTCATGTTTATGTCTTCATTTCCCCTATCCATTTTCATTTTCTGATCATTTGTTGCAGTTTACATTTTGTTACAACAAAACAGAAAAACAAATTCAGGAAGGCTCAGAGAGACTTCAAGGACATCAAAATGCGTGGAAAAACAGTAGGACGGGTGTGAATTCTTCCCCCCAAACTGCAGCATTGGTATGGATGGGAGTAGTCTTAATAAATACTGTATTTCCCCATGTACAAGACACACCTTAATTTTGGGACCTGAAATTTAAAAAAAAATGTATTACATAAATTTATTGAACTCAAGTTTTATTCATCATAAAATTCATACAACTCTCATCATTTGCATGAAATGCAAGTAAAAAAAAAGTACAACCACTGTATAAGACGCACCCAGTTTTTAGACCCCAAATTTTTCTAAAAAGGATGCATCTTTTACATGGGGAAATACAGTAGGTGTTTTCACAACAGCACAATTCTGAGGCACTGAAGACCATTGAGAGAAAAAGCAGATACATCCAGCCCACACTGAGAGAAGGGCAGCAAGAGTACAGTTTCAGTCAGGCACAGAGCTGCAGCCGCAAAGCTTACAGGGCAAAGATGGAAGCCCCCTCAGGAGAACCTGGAGCACCCAACCTCACAAGGCCCATCCAAGCCCCAGGGTAAGTTTTCTCCAGTGTCTGTACACACTCCTGTTGCTAGGAGACTGGTCCCAATGATACATACATTGATATTCTAATCTGTGTTCTACCATGACCCTTTGATACATATCTTACAGAAAGCCAAAGTTTAAAAATAGCTCCAAATTCTTACGGCTTCGTTTAAATGCAGTGAGCAATTATATTTTCTGAATGTGACTCTAAAGCACTTAGGACTACATCACATCCCATTTCAATAGCAGTGGGCTTTGTCGAAATGCTTTCATTGTATAGAAATTCTCCTGTATTGATCACTTCCTGAAATAGGAGGAGCATTACCTAAGCTTTGAGATTTAGTTTTTGTACACAATGATTTTGGGGGTTGGGGAGGAGTGAAAATTACCTTTAAAATAGTTGATCTCAAGTTATAGTATATTTAAGGTTTTTAACATGTGCAATTTCTTTATATACATAGCAACATGCAAAATATATTTCTCATCTTGTCTTTTTTAATGAAACAAAATTAAGTCTTAACCAAATTGAGAAATATTCAAATCATGTGATACTCTGGGGAAAGACTATTTGCTTAAGTTCTGTTTCCAAAGGAACATCAAAGGGTCATTAGGGGATGTCTATTTAATTTCAAAAGTACAGCTTGGGGACAAAGGGTCAATTACTGGAAGCTTACAGGAAGTTTGCTAGTCAGATATTCTGTAAAAAGAATCTATTATAGTTGTTCTTTGAACCAAATAAATAATTCACATTAATTGTAGTTCTTCCTGTTGACAATTGTAACATGTTCTTTTCTGCTCATTAAAATAGATATATTCCCTCTCAGTAATCACATCTCTCCTTCTTAGTACCCAGTTTCTATAATCTTATAGCTGACTCCTATAATTTCTAGTAGATTCAGACACAGAAGTAGTTCTAATGGTAGGGGAATATAAAAAATGTTTTTTTACTGCCTTAGTAAGATACTAATAATGCTATTCCCTCCCATAAATTCAGAATGCATTCGGTTTATGTTTAACCATGGTCACTAAAATGTGGGTAATAAATAAGAAAAGTTTCTGGGTCCTTAGCTTCATTAATTGAGACATAGTATATTAATTTTTTATTGCTGCATAACCAATTATCACATAGCAGCTTAAAACAACATCCACTTATTATTTCATAGTTCTTTGGGTCAGAAGCCTGGCATGGCATGACTGGGTTCTCTGCTCAGGTCATCACAAGATGTTGGCTGGGCTACAAGCTTGTCTGGAGGCTATGTGGAAAAATCCACTTCCAGGTTCATCTGTGTAGTTAGCAAAATTCATTTAATTGTGTTCGTAGGATATAGATCCCAGTTTCCTTGCTGGATGTCAGTCAAGGACCTCTCTCCATTCCATAAAGAAACTTGCATTTATTTTCAAGAGCCCCCTTCCATCCTCAAGTTAGCAACAGTTTGTTGAATTCCCCTCAAATCTCTTTGAATCTCTCTGACTTCCCCTTCTACTAGAGAATTTTCTGCTTTAGATTAGGCCCACCCAGATCATCTGCCTTTTTTACAGTCAGCTGTGCCATTGACTAGAACGTAAATAAATCATGGGAGTGATTCTCATCATCCATCATATTCTGGAGATTTAGGGTAGGACATCTTTGAGGGCCATTTAAAAACTTCTGCCTGCTACACATTGGAATCACAAGGAAAAAAGTAAAAAATTCACTGGTAGACAGAGACTCAACCTTGGTGTTCATAGCACAAGCAAGGATTATAGGTCCTAACCAACCTGGCCTCACTAACACAACATGAATACAGTATCTAGTTGTCAACCTTCTTTTGTATTCATTCTCAGGGAAAATAGTAACTGTGATAATAAATTGTAGAGCTTGAAAAGTGTGAAATGTTATAGCTGTTTAATTAGCTCCTTTGCACAGGCTCATCCTGAATGAAGTGTTTGTGTCAACTAGCTATTATTGCTTGCTATTTTTTATTTGGCAACCTTGGAGTATGAGTCATTATAACTGACTTTTCCAGATTATTTTAGCTAATAGCTGTACCTCTTTAAGAGTCATAAAAAAAGTGTAAGGTCATTTTTGAAGAGGTAAAATGAATGCCTTCAGTGAAAATGTTTTACTTAAAAATATTTTGTTTCTTTTCCTGTTTGTTTACTGAAAAAAATTACAACCTTTTTTCTGATAATAATAGTAACTGTTAAAATTTGTTGAATACTTTAGGTATTCTTTTCACTCAATATCATAATTATAATACTAATCATTCTACCATAGGGTGAAATGTTCTTAGTTTGTTCTCTATTTGTTTTGGTCAGAATTTGAGCTGCTATTTCTTCTTCATCATTGGTTCTGCTTATAATGACATCTTCACTATACCATTTCTGGTTTATTTCTCAAAACTATGATGGGCTGAAAAACTAGGTAACAAAGTTTGTAGAAACTGTATGTTAAATTAAGAGTCACCAAGCCTGAGTGAGGGCCTACAAAGTCAGTGCAAAAGGGTTTTGCGATGGCTATTCTTGTACTTGAAGAATTTTTTATCTATCTATCATCTATAGATATAAAATCAATCACCAGTAAAAAATATTAACCTGAAGATAACAGGAGTCAGGAGTATTGTTATTTGTTGCCATTATATAGGTAATAAACAAAACAAATATTTAATTAATGCCTACTATAGGCCCAGGACACACTGTTGTGTTTATTAATTGTTTTTATATGTATGTCTCTTATTATTATTTAAATATAAACAATTTAGGAGCAGAAAAGTATATTTTATAAAGTCTTTATTAATTTGTTGAAGGGGCAGATAAGGCACTCACCTTAGTAAATGGCGCTACTGAATATAATAAAATTACTTTCCACCTCATCCCATTAGAAATAAGTATTATTGCTTTTAATACAAGAGAGGTAAACTGTTTTCCTAGTAAAAACATCCATACATTTCTCTCTTAATATCTGCTAATGTTTTCAGTTTCACTAATCCTCTGTATCACTCTGTAAACTAATTTTTTCTATTTCATTCTTTTGTCTGATTTATTCCACAATGGAATCTGTCCACATTAGAAACAAGTGAAAGTTTTTACAACACAGCCTATAATTTCTTCTAGCTCCCTATATATCTTTTACTTACTTATTTTTCATTTATTCACAAATATTAATTTAGTGTCTTTTATGTTCAAGGTACTAGTGACCCAGCAGTGAAGGTAACAGATAGAGTTCCTGTCATCTCAACACATCCTTTCCTCTTCATTGTCCTACATCTTCAAGGCCAACATCAGCTTAAACCTAATTCTCTGCCTAACGCCCATCTTGCACTCTTTCACTCTTGTTTCTCAACCTACTTGTCTCCACTCCTTTCACACAAGGAGTGCCAGGGATATCTGGTGATATCCCATCATCCTTTGCTGACTGGGTTTGTACTATGCTCTGAATATTTATGTCTTCCCCCAAATTCAGGTGTTGAAATTCTAACCTCTAATGATATGGTAGCAGGAGATGGGGCCATTAGGAGGTGCTTAGGTTATAAGGATGGAGCCTTCATGAGTAGGATAAGTACCTTATTAAAGAGGCTCCAGGGGGATTCTTAGTCTCTGTCACCATGTGAAGACACAGTGAAAAGGCTATGAGCCAGGAAGAGAGCTCTCAAAAGAACATGACCATGCTGGTACCTTGATCCTGGACTTCCCAGCCTCCAGAACTGTGAGAGATAAATTCCTGCTGTTGATAAGCTATCCAGTCTGTGGCATTTTTGTTACAGCAGCCCAAACTGACTAAGACAGCTGGACATGCTGATAATCAGAGACAAAGAAGGGAGCCTAAAGTTGTTATTAACCTTATCCATACAAAAAGTTTAGCACAGTATTGGCAAAATTGCTGAAGCTCTAGTCAACATTCACTGTTCAGGTGAATTAAAAAAAAAAAATCACAGAGTAAGCAGTGCCATCTAGAGTTTGCATGACTCTAGGCTGTTGTTGAAACCACAGAACATTATCAAACTGATGCAGCATAACCTCCCTAGCACAGATAGGACCCAAGAGTATTTAAAAACAAAGGAATTCTTTTCTCACCCATCCCCCCCCCAAAAAAAAAAATCTTAACAATTTCCCTCTCTCTTCTATTCTCTAATTTCTGGAATTAGAGACTTCTTTATCGAAGCATGCTCAGGGCAATGTCTTGCACTTAGGTTATGCCCAATAGACCTGATTTAATTTTTGATCATGAATAATGGCAGAAAGATGGTGGGTGGCAGCATGGAATAGGACAGTCCTTTTTTTAATGTATCTGGTTTCCCTGTAAAAGCCACATCTAATTTACATTACATTTAACCAGGGAAAATTCTGAATTTGTACAAAATAATTCTTTTGGTGAAGCCATGAAAATATGTCATACTGCTAAGAAGACAATACTACTTCAAAACCACGTTTAAAAAAAATAATTGCAAGATGTATTGGTTTTATTTACATCAGTTATTTTTAGGTCAGAAACTTTCCTTCCTGTATACTACTAAATTAATAACTTAAAATTATATACTACTATCATCTATGCATTCATTTTTTTACTGTGAAAAATTTCAAACATACATAAAATTAATAAGAATAGTATATACCCACAGTCAACAGTTATAAAATTTGGCATACTTGTTTAGCTATTTTTACAAGACCAGTGCTGTAACCACTGAGCTATGGAGCCCACTTGTTTAGCTATTTTTAAAGACACAGTCTTAGCAGCTGATGGCCATTGGGCTCATTTGTGCTTTATCACCATTAAGATGCATTTTAAAATGTCATGAATATTGCCTTTGAATGTTATATTTCCATTTGGTGGTAAATGTTTATTAACATTATTAAAAGTGAGGACCTTAGTATAGGTAATCTTCCATTACAAAAAAACTTCAGGGAGAACTATATTCTTGTATTTCTGTATGGTGACCGTTGCTTGAAATAAGGGGGCTTTCAACTGAAACATGAAAACATTAAAGTTTCATAGAGTTTCGAGGGGGGGGGCATCATAATAAATAGATCATATTTTTTTGCACACGTATCATGTGCCAAGCACTGTAATAAAAGCTTTACAAGTACCCACTCTTCAAACAACCTTATTAGGTATTCTCACTATCTTCATTTTACAGATTAGAATGCTGAGGCTGAGAGAGACGAACTCAATTAATTGTCCAGAGTCATTCAACAAGTATTAGACACAGGCATATTTGTTAAAATTGTATTTGATTTCTGTAAGTGATGTTTTAAAGGATTAAAATGTTTTTATCCTTACCACTAATAATCAACAAATGGTATATAATAAACATAACATTTTATACAGTCAATATTTAAACTAAGGAATGTCTGCATAAACAAACACACCAAAGGACTGGACCCTGATAGGAGATGCAATAACAACCAGAGGAGGTAATAAAAAGTCCACACAGTTCCCTAGGACCAAGGGGATAGGAGCAGGGCAGCCTCTCAAAAAAAAAAATACCCAAGAATTTAGAGAAGATTTATTAAAATATCTTGGGTTTCAAGTCCACATTTTGCAGTTCCTGTATCTAAAAAGTTAAAAAAGTATTTCGTGTTATTGGCTTTATTTTTAAATTGATAATTTATAAATTTGGTCTACAAACAATAAAAATAGTGACTTACGTGTCAACTGAAATAAGTTTCTTTTCCCCATTGTCAGGGGCATAGTTCCAAGTTGTTTCAATAATTCCAATGTAATAATGCTTATCTTTTGCCCAGGCTGTGGTACTATAGAAAAATAGAAAAATACTCAGCCACAAAATCTTCATTTTTTTTCCCTCTCTTGGAGCCGAGAAGCAATGAAGTGAAATCAGAAGCAGGCAATTTTATAAATAAGGCTTTCTTCCTTTATTTGCTTGATTGACACAATTTAATGTTGCATAAGAGTAAATTGTTTCATTAAAGCAAATAACATTTTCCAGTTCAGCTCAGTTCTCGTAAACCCAGGAAAAAAAACAACTCGCAGCTTTCCATTGCCAAACTTCTCTGATTACAAATAAAAAGTCAACAATTATTGCTGGAGGGATTAGAGTGTGCATGACTGTGTGCCTCTCCCATCACTGTGTAAATTCCAGGAGGGCAGAGACCATCTCTAAATGCTCCTTTTGTTCCTCCAACAATATGCCACAGTACAATGCCCTGGATGCTGTGAACTTCTAATAAATCAGAATGAAAATTATGCAGAATGGACCAAAACATGTGGTTCTTGCCTTTTGAAAAGCCTAATAATATTTAATTGCTACTTTAATATATGAGACATGATTGATTTCTAGCATGACAAATTTAAGTACCCAAAACTAAAAATTTTATTTTGAAGAGTTTATCTATTTTGTAAGCTCTGAACACATCTGCATAGCAAGTTTACCAGATAATTCTGTATTGCTATATGCAAATCAATAGGAGAGCATAATAGATGTTGATAATTCTGTTTTTAAAAGATTTTTATTAAAAATACAGTGAACATACAATATTATATTAGTTTCAGGGGTTCACCATAGTTATTCAACATTTATATACCTAAAGGAGTGATCACCATGATAAGTCAAGCAACCATCTGACACCATATGATGCTATCACAGCATTATTGACTATATTCCCCATGCTGTACATTACATCCCCATGACTTATTTGTTTTATACCTGGAAATTTAGACCTTTTATTGCCCTTTACCTTTCCCCCACCTTTTTTAATTTTTCAATTACACTTGATATTTAGTATTATTTTATATTAATTTCAGATGTATAGCATAGTGGTTAGACATTTATATAATTTAAGAAGTGACCCCCCTGGCTAGTCCAGTACCCACCTGGCACTATACATAATTATTACCATATCGTTGACTATATTCCCTATGTTTTACTTTACATTCCATTGACTGTTTTGTAACTACAAATTTGTACTTCTGAATCCCTTCACCTTTTTCACCCTGCCCCCAACTCCCTCCCATCTATCACCCCAACAAATCTAGTACCCATCTGACATCATACATAGTTATTACAATATTATTGATTATATTCCTTATGCTATATCCTACTTCCCCATGACTACTTTGTAACAACCAATTTGTACTCTTAATCCCTTCACCTTTCTCCACCCACACTCCCAAACCCCATCCCATCTGGCAACCATCAAAATGTTTTCTGTGTCAATGTGTTTGTTTCTGTTTTGTTCGTTTATTTTGTTCTTTATATTCCACATATAAGCAAAATCACATTGGATCTGTCTTTCTCTGGCTGATATACTCCACTCAGCAAAATACCCTCCAAGTCCATCCATGCCATCACAGATGGCAAGAACCCATCCTCTTCCACAGCCGAGCAATATTCCATTGTATATACTATGTACCATCTCCTCTTTATCCATTTATCCATTGACAGGCACCCAGGCTGCCTCCACTTCTTGGCGGTTGTAAACAATGCTACAATGAACATACATGTATGGATGGCCACATCTTCTCGAAGTAGCCTTGTTGGGCTTCTTCAGATAAATACTCAGATGGGATTATTGGGTCCTTCTTTGTCTCTTGTTATAGCCTTTGCTTTAAAGTTTGTTTTTTCTGATATAAGTATTGCTACCTCAGATTTCAAAAAAAAAATTTTTTTTTTAAGATTTTATTGGGGAATCAGGGAAGGGGAACAGACAAGTTGCTGTCCTTTGTTCTTCAGTCTAGTTGTGGAGGATGTCGCTTCACTGGCCCATGTTAGTACTGTGATCATTGCACTCTTCCCAGCTGAGGCAGATCAGTCGCCGGCCATTGGATGGCCGCTCACAGCAGCTCACGGCAGCTCACACCGGCTGCCAGCTGCTCACGCTGGCTGCCGGCCACTCACGGTAGCTCACGGCAGCCCACTGCAGCCTACACCATCACCAGCAACTCATGGCAGCCCAGCTCCAGGTCGATCTGTTGTTTGCCATCTTAGCCGTAGAGGGCGCAGCATCACTGGCCCACGTGGGATCCGAACCGGTGGCCCTGCTGCTCAGAGCTTGTGCTCTAAAGCCAATTCTTAATCAATTAGCCACTTGGCCAGCCCGACCCCAGGTTTTTTTGTTTTTGTTTTTAGCTGAGCTATCCTGCCACCTGTTGGCAGCTCAGCAGCAGCTCAGCTTGGGCCACGAATCGAACCGGCGACCCTGTTGCTCAGAGCTCACACTCTTGAGTTGGCTCTTAATGAACTGAGCCACTCAGCTGGCCCTACCCCAGATTTTTTTAAAATTTCCATTTTCATGAAATATCTTTTTCTATTCTTTTACTTTCCATCTGTGTGTGTCTTCTGATCTGTCTTGTAGGCAGCATATGTAAGAATTTTGTTTTCTTATCCATTCAGCCCTCTTATGTCTTTTGATTGGAGCATTTAATCCATTTACATCGAAAGTAATTGTTGCTATGTAGCTATTTCCACTTTATTATTCATAATTTTGATTTTTTCTTTTCTTTTCTTTTTTTTCTTCTTTTTTTTTTTTTTGTCTTAAAGAAGTCCCTCTAACATTTCTTGTAATACTGGTTTTGTGGTGATGAACTTTTTTAGCTTTTCTTGTCTGGGAAGCTCTTTATCTGTCCTGTTTTAAATGATAGCCTTGCTAAGTAGAGTACCCTTGGTTGTAGGTCCTTACTTTTCATCACATTGAATATTTTCTGCCAATCCCTTCTGGTTGCAAAGTTTCTGTTGAGAAATCAGCTGACAACCTTATGGGAACTCCCTTGTAAGTAACTAGTTGCCTTTCTCTTGGTGCTTTTAGGATTCTCTCTTTGTCTTTAACCTTTGCCATTTCAATTATAATGTGTGCAGGTGTGGGCCTGTTTAGGTCCATCTTGTTTGGGACCCTGCACTTCCTGGGCTTGTATGTTTATTTCCTTCACTGGGTTAGGAACGTTTTCAGTCATTCTTTCCTCAGATAGGTTCTCAATCCCTTGCTTTCTCTCTTCTCCTTCTGGTAACCCTATGATGCAAATGTTGTTACACTTGATGTTTTCCCAGAAGTCTCTTAAACTATCCCTATTTTTTTGGATTATTATTATTATTATTATTATTTTGCCATTCGAACTGGGTATTTTCTGCTACCTTATCTTCCAAATTGCTAGTTTGATCCTCTGTTTCATCTAGTCTACTGGTGTTTCCTTCAAGTGCATCCTTCATTTCAGTTATTATATTCTTCACTTTTGACTTATTTTTTTTTTATGGTTTCTATGTCCTTTTGTATGCTTGCCATCACTCTGTTAAAGTTCTCACTAAGTTTCCTGAGCATCCTAATAACCATTGCTTTGAACTCTCTATCTGGTAGGTGCTTGCCTCTATTTCATTTAATTCTTTTTCTGGAGTTTTTCTTCTGCTTGATTTGGGACATATTTCTTTGTTTCCTCATTTTGTCTATCTTTCTGTGTTTGTGTCTATGTATTAGGTAGATCTGCTATCTCTCCCAGTCTTGGTTGGGTGGCCTTATGTAGTAGGCACCCTGTGGGGCCCAGTGGCACAGTCTTCTTGGTCACCTGCTTCTTGTGCTCCACGAGTGTCCCTTGTATGGGTTGTGTGTGCCCTCCTGTTATAGTTGATCCTTGATTGCTATTGGCACATCAGTGGGTGGGGTTGGCCCTCAGGCTAACTGGCTGTGGGGTTTGGCCCCATCCACAGCTTATGAGCTGCTCTGCAGGAGGCTGACCCCACTGAGTAGGATTTGTGCCAGCAGGATCTGGTTCCTGTCAGATTGCTCTTTGTGTGTGCTGCTTGTGGGGTAACTTGGTGGTGCTCTGCTTTGGTCTGAAGCCGACCTCCAAGTATGTTGATTCTAGGGCTTCTTGGGAGGGGCTCTAGTGCAGGCCAAGGTCACTAGACTGCTTGTGACCATCTAGGGAGTACCTGTGACCATCTGGGGAGCTACAAAATGGTTTTTTTGCTGCCTTGCTAAACCTGGAGGCGTGTGGGAGAGACCATGCTGTGAACTGAGGATGGCTGCCACCAATACCAGGCGTGGGGGAGCTATGCAAAAAGCCAGGACACCCCAAGGCCTGCTGCCACCTGCCAGCTCCCTTAAGTTTCAGCCACCAATAAAACCTCATGTGGTTTTACAAGTTGGGAGAGGCAAGGTCTCAGGGAGTCACTAGAGTGGGAAGAGTTATATTCACCAGGTTAATGTAAATTCTGGTTTGGTGCCAGTGCTGAGCCTGCAGCTACTCAGCAAAAGTCTCAGAGCACACCTGAGTCCAGTCACTGCCCACCTGGGGCCTGTGGACTTTGACAGTTTTCCAAGAAATAGTGCAATATAGACAGGGCTGGCTGCTAGCCAAGAAAGTGTCTCCAGTGTTGGAGGAGTTGGGTGGGCCAAGGTCCCAGAGGAGCTCA